AAGTTTGAAAGCCATTAGCAGCAAACTTAGCTGCGCTGGTCATTGCCGTCTTCCTGGATGGGGACCTCGAGACAGGCCACATCAATGGCTAGAGACATTGTCAGATATGGCTCAGTCGCGCCCTCAATGGCGCTCGTGCATCCAAGCTATTGCCTTCAATGCATAGCTCCTTTTCCAACCCCCTCACCACTTGACAGCCCACTGACGGTGCTGGATTTGTGCCCCAATTTATCAGCTCCCGCCTGCAACGCGCAGCTACCTACCCCTCCCCCCAAACCATCGGTGAACGAAACTGCGGCTGCTACAACCACAGTACGACGAGTACGCGGTTATTACAGCTGAGAATGATGAACGTTCATATTGGTTAGGAACAGGCGGCATTCAACACTCTGTCGGGGTCGCTCCCCATTGTCCATACGCTGAGTATCCGCTCTGTGTTTTGCACCTGTGTTTGCGTCGTCGAAACTTAGTCATCCAACTTGGGCGTTCATATCACCGCGCAGGATGAAAGCAGGCGTTCTTGCTGACCGAAGCAGTCGTGACTGGCTTCAACAATGAACTTTCCACTTTCAGACAACCGTACAGCGCAAAGATGACTTTATGGTATGTTATCCAGTAAAGCGCCTCCAGCCCCTGTACCCGAGTGCAGTCTATCATCTTCAGTTACAAACCTCGTACATATACAGTGGTTGTACCTGTCACAGTTTCGTCCGCCGATGTTCTGTGGGAATAGGACTAGATGTTAACGCATTGGAGACTGTAGCTTCCACCAAGCACAGGGCTTCCAGTCAGCTGAACATGAAAGTGGCAGTGAAATTTTCATTGGGAATGTCGTTGTGCATTGGAGATAACAGCTTGGCCGAATGCGTGGCACTGAAACAGCGACTGGACCATTGATGTGTCCTGTTTCGTTGTCCCCATCAAGGGAGACGGTAATAACCACACAATTGAGTTTTCCGGTAATGACTTTCCTAATTCGCCAACACAGCAGTATGCATTCTATGAAAAGCGTTCACAGGTTGCAGGTTCACTGCAACGAGTCTTCACAAGCCTCTTGTCAGTGAAAACAACGAGGAGTCCAGTGATTCTCTGATATCCAAAAAAGAAGAACCTTTGGAGAATTGGACGGAATACTCCGAACAACAATTCATTCGACTACCTACTTCCCATGCAGGTCATCAGTCTCTGACAGAAACTATGATTACAGAACCTCCGTCGGTCTCGGGAGTGTTCCAGTGCATACATATATTCGGGTGTCACTGTGCTCTTGATCTCAATGATCTTTCACCTGTCCCTCTGTCACTGCTTATCTAACACGTTTGCGTCTTTCTGAGGAAAAGGGAAGAATCGGTAATAATGTTTACCTTCGAAAATGATACTTGCAGTGAAAATAGTATTAGCTATGACATTAGCATGTCGGATAAAGTGAGTGCATCAATCTCAGAGGCTCGAAACACGCTTGTCATTTCGCGTCAGTTGTGGTGTCAAAATGATACATCACTGGACCCAAGGGTCACGTTCACGGTATTACAGTGGGTATTTGCTTTGTGGTTGTAAGGCGGCCTGTGCGGAGAGATCATCTGAACTGTTTTCGGGTTTTTGACCGCCAATGTCCCAGAAGCTTTGCTCCGACGAATGGCGTCTCCGATTTCGTACTGGAATAATTAGGGAACGTGTTTGTTTATGCGGCAGGTGCATCGGTCGTCGATAGCGTCCAATACAATCAATTGTGGCAGCTTGGCCATATACCATGCATGCCGAACGATAGTCCACCTAGACAAGAATAGTTCGTTATCGGAGTGGCGCAGATCGCGGGCGAGTAATATGTGGCTTGAAAAAAGCGTGAGAGAGATGGCGAGGAGTTTGACTGTTATGCGTGCGGTTCCCTTGCATTAATAGGGTTCCTGCTATCCTCGTTGTACGTGGCTGAAAACGTTGCACGAAATGGCGGCTAACAGATATCAATGGTTTTTTGTTGTCCGTTCCTCCGAGCCTCCGGAGGTGCAGGCACCCCAGACCGCCTGAGGTAGGTGAGCACCGGGTCTCTTCTTCATCCATTTTTTTAGTTGACAATTACTTGGATGCGGCAATTTAACGGTAATAGTTATTATAATCGTCATGAAACAACAAGGAAAGGACGCTATAGTGAACACAGAGACCATATAGAAAGAGTGGAGCCTTAGTGCCTAGTGTGCCTTAGTGTTCTCAGTAAAATGAAGAATAACGCATTTGAGCATCGGGATGAGATGTTTTCAGCCAAACTGATTTGGAAGGACGACCTCAGTGTTAAACGACAGCAACCTGAGTACCCATGCTAGGACAAGAGGGGAACTGTTGTAATAAGAGTGGTGTGAACTAAGATTCTATGGAACCCGAGCTACCTCCAACCCATTACAGATAAACACTTGCTAGACAGTTGACAGCATGCTTTCCACTGTTTTTCACATATCATAATCTGCACGATTTTTCAACCAGGAGGGCTCTAAGGTATGTCTGAATGTGCCTGTCTTCACCTCAATTTTGTGTCTTGGACTGTTTCCCCAAAACCTTCGTCAGGAATGATTCTTGTGAACCGTTGCTGGCGTGTATGATATTACTCATCACCTAGCATGACAATCCTTTTTACTGTTTCGCTATTAATGCTTTGCTAAGGAGTACTGGTTTACGCAATATTTCACCGTCGACGTGCTTCAGTAATCTAATTATTGGTATGCCTCAAAGGCACCGACAGACAACTGGTTCGAGACAGGTCACAAACAAATAATCTCTCGAGTCAAGGTAGATTTTGACTGCATTTTTTGCCATTATGCGGCCAAGGTTGCGGTATATTTGCAACGTGGCTTCGGAACGGCTTAAATCTTAAATGGGAGGTGATCCCCTGGGGTTAGCTGTTCTTGAAAAAAAAGCGTTCAGCTGTAGCACCCTTCCGGCGCCTAGCTGCCATGCCATCCGAAGGAAGCACGAGGGCTTGGATACTGCCAGATTGCTCAAGCCTAGGCAGGGGAAGTCGAGAGGCGGAGGTCGGATTCGAACCACGGAACTTCCGGTCAGTAAATTCGCGCTCTAACCACTTGAGCCATCTCGCCCAAGGTGTCGTTCAAGGTGTCGCAGATTTCTCATTAGTGGACGTGGAATGAAATGGTTCAGTGGTTAGACTGCGAATTCACTGACCGGAGGGTTCGTAGTTCGAACTTGACCTCTGCCTTTTGATTTCTATCCAGGCTTGAGGAAGCTGGTAGTATCCCAGTCCTCGTGCCTCCTTCGGGTGACATGACAACTAGGCACCGAAAGGGTGCTACAGTTGATGATTTTAGTCGACATTGGTTTTAGACAACAGTGTTGCTCGCATTGAAGTGAAGTCTAATACGGACGGTAATTCTAATGAGGACATCTTAAAAAGTAACCACAACCGATTTCACCAGATGCTAAGCCGGCGAGTGACTCACTTGGAGGCTACTAGGTATCAAAAAACAATTTCTGGAAGCTCAATCTTCGTGCAATTTTCCCACGATTTGGCACATGTGTTGGGTTTGTTGCATCATGAATGGCGCCCACTGGCAGGAGAGGCCAATAAGCCCCTTCTCCTTTATTGACATATCTTCGGGAGTATTACTGTATTTGGTATGTATTTGGTACTGTATTTGGTAACCATGTGGTCCGGGTGGATTTATTGTAAACTTACGAAGAGGGGAATGAATAAGGTGTTTTAGGTGGACATTTTATACTGTTTTGAAGTTTTAAAATTGTTTTTTATAAAAGGAGCCGATTGTTCCATCATCATCGTTATCAGCGTACTTGTCATACAGTGGTTGTAGGTCCACCGATGAGTTGGGGAGGTGGGGTGGGCAGTCGTGCATTGGAGGCGGAAGCTGATAAATTGGTGCGTACATAGGGGTCTGTCAGTGGACTTTCAAGTGGGCGGGGGGCTGGGAAGAGAGCTATACATCGATGGCAATAGCTTAGATGCAGTCGACTGGCATACGGAGCACGTCTCTCAAGACAGCTCAACCTATGTAGTGTGATCAGTTTATCCATCGTGGATGAGTTATTTCTTCCGAATACAAATCGACGTATTTCAGCATTGCTGATCAGGTGTTCCCACCAAACTCTGGCAATGCTTCGAAGATATCGATGGTCAAACACTGAGTCTTTTGGCCTCCTCGGCACTCAGCGACCAGGCTTCAGACCCGCATAGCGCTATGGAGCGCATCGGAGCATTGTAAACTAGACCCTTGACGGATAAGATCATGTCACGCCTATGCCACAGGTGACGCAGGTTCACAAAAGCTTCTCTAGCCTTCCAAATTCGGATGAAAATATCATCTTTCGCAAGACCATCAGGACCGATACAGCTGCCCAGGTATACAAACTTGTCTACCACCTCAAGCGGCTTATCCGCAAGAATAGGGCTAGGGTTCGAGCCTACCCAGTCTTCCAGTAGCTTTCCACACTTTTGTAGGTGTAAAGCACATGTCATATAGTGAGGCAGAATTATTAGATTATTTAATATTGTTTGCATTACCACGGCGTCAGATCCCAGAAGAGCCATTTCGTCTGCATACTCGATATCTGTGACGTACGCTCCGGGAGAACTTCAACCCCACAGGCAGTAGTGGCTGATAGTGACTCTTCTATAATCGCATCGTCGACGAAGTTGAAGAGGAGGAGTGAAAGGGAACAGCCTTGTCTGACACCACTTGATATGATGAAATCAGGCGAGAGCTTCCCTTAGGTCTTCACGCGGCCGCTGGAGTTGGCGTACAACGCTTTAAGGAGGGTCAAAAACTTATAGGTATTTCCTGGCCTCACCCAATGGCCTTGAAGATCATGTGACGCCAAGAAGACATACTATTTCTTGTCTTGCAGTAGAACCCTTCACTGGTTTCTAATTCTGATGAACTGCCTCATTGACTTGACTAGGAGTGAACAGGCGAATGTTATATCAGTTATTTTTTTCCAGCTGATGAACTCTGCACTTTTGTTGTAGGTTCTTATGAACTATGGCACCAACACGCTCAGTTGAACTCTTAACCTTGAACAGCCTAACAGAAGGACAGGAGCCTACAGAAGATGGAAAGTGCTTGTGGTACTTCAAGATAAGTTGTTGTAATCTTCTTTCCTAGGTCGAGTATACTAAAGGAAGTCACTCACAAAGCATCGTTCAAGCTACCATCTACAAGAGCCCTAGTTGTTTTGGGGGATGACGAGACGGGGAAAACAACACTGATAGCCAAACTTCAGGGCACCGAAGATCCAAAAGAGAGTTTTGGTTTGGAGTATACTTTCATCGACATTAAAGATGAGGATAGAGATGGTAAGTGAATTCAACCGACACTATATAACTTAATTTTGTTTTTTCAGATCAGACGAAACTTAGCGTATGGATTCTCGATGGAGATGCTATAGAAAGCCGTCTTTTAAAGTTTGCCCTAAACGCCGATAATTTCGGGGAGTGCGTAGTCGTATTGTTGGTTAGCATGGCTGAACCATGGAAGATTGCGGAAAGTTTGGAAAAATGGGCGGGTGTTCTGGAACGACATATAAATCAAATAGGAATTCCACTCGAAACTCTATCCGAGTATCGCAATGGCTGTAAGTTTCCAACTTTTGCATTAAAAACGCCATGAGGAAACAGAAACTTATTTCTTCTTCTTCTCTTCCTCTGACGCGCGTTTTCACCTCCAGCTTATACGCCTTTTAAGTTATTTATTCCACAGTTGTACTACGGCTAGCCATCACAGGTGTGAGAGCACCTGAGGTTCTGTTGGCAAAAAGTGCTACTCGCGGACTTATTGCAGTTGTTTACTGAGCCTAAATCGTGTGGAGCTTCGTACGTGAGATCAGCGGTTTGAATTTCATTTCCATTTCGATTTTTTTGAACATATGCGCTCTGAACGTCACTTATCTTCAGGATTGACACCGATTATTATGGCAGCCACACCTGCCATTGTTGGTAAGCTACAAGCGTGAATTTACTGACCGGAAGGTCCGTATTTCGAACCCGACCTCTGTCCGTCGACTTCCTCTGTCTAGGCTTCAGCAACCTGGCCCTCGTGCTTCCTTCGGATAGCATGGCAGATAGGTACCGGAAGGGTGTTACATCTGAACTAGCTAGGAAGCTAATACATGAGTTCCAACACTAGGGGACCGAGTCGTTGGCTGCAACTAATCTCAAGTTGCGTCCACATTATTTCCATTATAACAGTCCCCATCTTTCCTGGCGCAATTATTCCCATGAGTCCGTACCAGAGGGAGGAAGAAACATTAGACTCGCGTTCCTCTTTTATTAGAGCTCATCAGCGATGCATATTACTGGCCATGCCCAGGTCTTCACCTCTAGCATCTTACATGCAAGGTGAGCGTGTTACCACTACTCCAACGGCGCACACTAGATGCACCTGAATTGTTACGTTTGAGCAGGTGAGCGTGTTCACGCTTGAGTGATGTAATTGGTTTCCCCGATGCCCCAAACGACCACCAAGTAACCACCCCTCTTTCTGTTATACCTATCTGTTCTTCTGTCCTCACATTGGTGTTGATGACATCTTCACAGGCTCATTCTTAGGGCGTGGTCACTTTGGACCGAAAGGTTGTTACAGCTGAACGATTATCTTTGGGAGCAAGATGGCTTAAGTGGTTAGAGCGTGAATTTACTGACCAGAAGATCGGTGGTTCGAACGCAACCTCTGCCTCTCACCTTCCCCTGTTAAGGCTTGAGCAGCCCGGCAGTATTCCAGTCCTCGTGTTCCCTTCTGATAGCTTGGCAGTTTTGCATCGAATGGTTGTTACAGCTGAACGAACGAGAACGAACAAACGACTAAGTCCAGAGTGGGTTTTTGTTGGCGCACCATTATTCGTTTCCGAACTGGGGCTACTTTTTAGTCTAGGTAGTATTTTTTAGACTCTATTACCCTGGAGACTAACTATTATAGGGAGCTATTATTGTGGTCAAAATACTGCGCAACAGGCATCTGATAGTTCACATCCACAGCTGGAATTTAAGTAGTGCCCATTTCCCGTGATTTTACAGATTTCATTGGGTTTTGTTTGATTAATGGAACATGCAGGGCTACTAAGCACGCAGAGATTCAGTGCCCGGATATCACAAGTGACCCGAAAAACTGACGCCTTTGAATTAGACCCTTTTCTCTGGGTGTCCTAAAATAGTTAGGGTTCGCGCCATAGAAAAAAGGGACCTCACGTCGCATTCAGCACTGACCTGAGACGACACTTTATAACGGCATTCTCTATCGTCATAAAGCTTTTCTAGCTTTCCTGTTGCCTTCTCACAGGACGGCGTTATGGCCATGTAATACGTTTGCATATTCTTGAACACATTCAACGCAAATTTTCTACCTGCTGATGCTGTGATAAAATCGACTATTCCCTGAGATTTGCGGTGATAGAAAAGGAAAGGGGACACATAGGGATCATCCGCTTTGTTGGTAAATGACTGCCATTCATCCTTCGTTGTAATCCTACGTCGATACCTGTTACGTTCTTGAGCGCTTATGACATCATTCGATAAGCTCGGACTTACGATTCGACGATTCTACCACGACCCTGTGTCAGGAAGCCCCATTTAGACAGCTGCGCACTCTTCGTGGGACTTTGTATGTAGTTTCGTAAATGTGGTACACAAAGTTCACGAGATATCCTTTCGATCCTGTTGGGAGAAATATGAGGCACGCAAAGTCGTTTTGTGAGTGGGATTCCGCACATCACTTTGCAAGAAGGCATTTGAGATGTTCTGGGTGAACTCATTCTTTCTTGGAACCGTCAAGGTAGAGCGCTGGTGCAGTTCACGAAGAAAGATGATCTGGTTCTTGAATGAATGTGTTTCACGGAGGCCGCCTCTTGTTTCAGTTTGAACAGCGTACAATATATCAAATTATGTTTCAGTAGTACTCGTAAAGTCTTTGAGGCTCATCCTTAGGCCTAGTTCCATCACCAACACCAGCTCATACGTACGTTGCAATAAATGGAACATTCATCCGAGTTGCAGCTGAGTCTGCTGTCAACACTAACTTATCGCAACATACGTACAAATTGGTGTTCAAGTTAGAAATAAACATGATAGAAATTTGGGACAAGGTCTATCTGATGAGACTCGAGAATGGTGTAACTGCTAGCTGACTCTATGGTTTTTGTCGACCTTAGAAATAGTATTAAGAAATATTGTTTCGTGTAGGAGATGGTCAGTCGTGGTATCCTAGTCAGCCATATTGTACACGAACAAGAAAACAAGTACTGGTGTGACGATATTATCTGGCTACCCATATCCTTGTGGCGTGAATAACTGTCAACTGAATATATTGGTCGTCGAACGGAATGTCCCCCGGTCTTGTAGCATATGCTACCAATGATCGGAATAATTTACAAGGGTATTCGGATATTTCCTCCCATATCATATCCAGTCAGAGGTAGCCATGTGGATTGGACCAGGGAGGAACCCTAGGGTTTTGTTTTATGCCGGTGCGCATTTGATATTTTGTTTTGTTTAAAAGGAAGTTTTCCTTGGCAAAGTTGTGCCAGTAGGGTTTGGAAGTGTCTAATCTATCCAAGTTGAACAAGCTGGGGATTCACTGATTGCTCCGTATTGCGTAAGTTTATGCTCAGACTTGGTATTTGAAAGCACCGAGGGTGTTAATTCCCGCCATCTTTTTGGACCTCACCTGAGCCTCAGATTGCATGACTCTAGATGCTCCGGTGGCGTAACTTTGAGTGCTTTTCTCTTATGTTAAAAAAGCTGTGTTGACCAGTCTTTGGTTTTGACAGAGTTACCGTGTACAATATTGCGGCGTTGCCAGCAAAGGACCTATCTTTGGCGCCTCGTCACCGGACTTCATGCATCGTTTTATTTTAGAAGTGAGGGCGTAAATCCTACACGTAGCCGAAATTTACGTAGCAGATACACTACGAAAGCCAAACAAATGCCAAGGAGTATTGTAACTTTCTATTTCATTGCTTGTTCAATATAACCGGATTTGGAGGAAATCACCAATCCAAAGTGGTCCATATTTCCGCACTTCTCTGTTATTTTGATGACCGATTAACTGATTTGCAAATAACCTTGGTATTATAGTGATCAGACAATTTCGCGATTATGTGGAGCCCGATGCACTGTTAGCACCCAACACGCCGGCTCCGATTTCCCATGTACCGTTGGCGACGGCACCCATCAACCCTCGGCGTCCACCCTCGGTGGGATTGCATCCAGCTACCGCAGCTCTCCTGTCTTCCACACTTACCGCTCCTACCGTCACCAACAATACCAATGGATCTTCTGGAGCTACCGCATCAACACCTGATGGTGAGAATAGCGACGAACATCCACCAGTGGAACCACCTCTAGATAACACTGTCTTGTCAGCAAATTTAGGTATCCCGATGGTCGTTGTTGTAACTAAAGTAAGCGGTTTATTCTGCCAAAATATCTGTACCGGGCTTGTGTTTATCATTTGTTTCGCCGCCACTTCAGCTAGGTTGTTTGCGGGATAGACTAAGTGAATATCTTAGTCCATCTACCACAGCGGTCTTGCTGACTGTCGGACCCTTCTTGTACTTTGTTTCGGCACTCATAGTTATGCGTAGCGACTGCACTATAGTGTTGCTACTTTGGTGGCCTCATTCTGAGTATACCTCCACAGCTTGTTGAATTGAACGTCGTGAAAGCGGAATAGCTACTGATTACTGTTCGCAGCCTTAAAACCTAGCCAACTTAGTGATCTGCTCAATCGGACTGATGAAGCTTTTGTGTAAAAAGCGAAACATTGCCCAGTTAGAAACTGCCGATTGTTTGCCAAGCCCTTCTGAAACGATGACCTAGCAATCAGTTCTTGTGAGTCTCTGACTAGTGCTTGGATGGATACTATATTGCGACGGTCGCCTGTATTGTTCCCTTACTTATTCGACATTCTCTCTCGTTCATTCGCGCTCCTGTTTTACTTGATTTACATTTTCGTCCAGAGCTATTTCGATGATTGAACTCCCAACCTTCACCTGGTTGAGTTTTTACTGTGCCACTCCCACTTTCAGACTGACGTGATGAACACACTGGAGAAGGAAGAGGGCTTCACCGATGAACACTTTGACTACATCCAGATGCACATCCGGCGTTTTTGTCTTAAATGTACGTTCGCAAGCCTGGCATTTGATAATTTGGATTATACAGTCATCAAGTTTATATTGTATGCTATGGATGAAGAGACACCTTCCACAGTTTAGTTTACAGATGAACCATTGAGTGTCTGTTGCCATCCTCTGTCCTCAGCCTTTGTTTTCGTTTCAAGCTTGCTCAGACCGTCTTGCACTGTTTCCCTAGCTTGTAGTTTGTATCGATTCACCACGGTGTTCGTCAAACTGATAGTAATGTGCTTATGCTAATCACGTCTTCATGGAAAGTGAGACGTCTTCACCCTTAAGTTGCACCTACTAGCAGAAGACCGAACTCCATGGTCACCGTTTTGATCGAAACACGATAAGTTCAAAAGTACTGGGCATACGAGAATGAAGTTTGCCCTACTGGAAGTGCACAGCGAGTCCAATCAGACGAATCTTTTCGGGATAAGCTACGAGAGCTGCTGATACAGCTCTTAGGAGGACCGGCGAGACTTGGTCATCAAAGTTACCATTATCTAGTCATTGTTTTACCTCGGCTTCATCTTCAACTGTTATCCCATCCCATGTAGACGGTGCGGCTTTGTTCTACGTCTCGGTCAAGGAGAACAAGCACTGCGATCTACTCAATCGTTACCTACAAAGTCGAATCTATGGGTTCCCTTTCACGCAAGCAGCGTACGTCGTCGAGCGTGACTGCGTGTTTGTGTAAGTCTAAAAGATCCGCAACTTTCGTTTTCCCTTCTGTTACAACAATGTCCTTCCTTTTGTAGAGGAATTTTATCTACAGTACATAAACATGTACAGTAAGTAGTAAAGAAAACCAAGGTTAAGGCGGCTTCCCAGCTGTTCTGGACAAAAAGCAAAAGAGGTCGGTCAGGCAATGGGATGGGTGATGTTTTGTTACAGTATCTAGAGAAACGGATTTTTTGGAACGATTGAAAGTTTCTGGAACGGACACAGGTGACGCCATTTCGGAAAAGCGTCCCCATGGTAGAAACGACAAAATAGTAGAGAGGGTGGTTTATGCCGAAGCTGGTTGGTAAGAAATAGGATGACAGTGAGACGGATAATCCTTTCCCTTAATTTGGTTCGAAATTCGGAGCTAAGTGGAAAGGTCCCATCATAAATAAGGCGAAGCTGAGGTCTGCAGGTAGTGAGGAAAGGGAACTAACTAACTTGGAATCTTACCGACAGTCAATTGGACGTCGGTGGACCAATAGAGGTCGTCGAAAAAGTTCAAACCTAGGGCATTTGGGGATGGTGATAGGGGTCTGAGTAGAGAATATGTTTGCAATCCGAGAAGTATTAAGTTTTGGACGTTCATCGCTGTTGAGAAGGTAGTGAAGGCAAAAGACAGGTGTGTCATCAGGAAAGAAGAGGAAATTTTACAAAAAACGAGTCGGATTTGTCCAGTGAATTAAGGATACTTGAGTTGCAGGTGGCGGAGAGTGAATGTAGGTGGAGAACAGTTTGTGAACAAGAGATGGGTCATTTCACCGGTTCCGAAAATTCGCGTATTGTTTGAGAGCAGCACCAAATGTGCTACAGAAGACAGGCACTGAGTAGCTGAATCAATATTCTTTTCTAGGCTGTGTGCAGTTTTTAAATACAACTGAGAATTGAGAGCGACCAGAACGATGTCCTCATCAGTGTTGCGTAAACCAACAACCAAGCCCTTGGCTTGAAATGGCAAACCACAAAAGGTTCTTACAGGTTGGGCGCTGATACATCCCCAGCACTAAGCATTCAGTAGGTCTTCATGCAGCTATTGTAAACTAGTTCCTCAGGCTCTTGTCCTGGCGACTGACTGGATGGAATGACCTATCTGACGTTCCATTTCTATCGTTCAGCTGTAGCACTCTTTCGGTGCCTAACTGCCATGCCACCCGAAGGTTGCACGAGGGCTGGGGTACTGCCAGGTTGCCCAAACCTAGACAGGAGAAGTCGAGAGGCGGAGGTCGGGTTCGAACCACGAACCTTCCGGTCAGTAAATTCGCGCTCTACCTACTTGGGCCATCTCGCCCCCTCCATTTCTATCAATGAACACCGGTTAGTGGACCCGTGCGCTCTGATCCCATGATCCGATCCCGCTACAAATTGAATTTGCCGGTGCTGGTCCAATTCTTCAGTCTCCCTCTGGGACGAAAGTTTCGTTCTAAACACGCATGGTCAACTTTTAGGCTTTTGAACTGCACTGCCGAACTACTGAGACCCTTGTGAACGTTCAGTATCCAATATTGTGCTCACCTCGTCTGATTACACGACATCACATTCTTCGTCTCCGCCTTTCGCACAGCTCATCTACGTGACTTTCAGCCGTTTGCAGCTTAAAACCTCCGGTGACCAACTGTGGCTATGCATCGTAGTTGTCACTGAAATTCTCATATTTTGAAACGCGAACTTAGCGAGCTCGGGATAATTCTATGTGATCTGTCTGGTAATATTGTCACAACTACTTGGTCACTCTAAGTAAACTATTAACTCACGGCCAAATTTTGAGAAGTTGCTCTATAGAATTGGTCTGTATGTGCAACGCACCATCAACTGGGTCCGTTTTTAAGTTCCCTAAGTTGGTACGTCTTATCACTACGTCCACAGTCTATAGAACTTGAGCTGCCTTGTGTTGATAGATTTCCTACCAGGTTCCACACTTCCTGTTTACTTTTACAGACCAACCGGTTGGGATAGTGAGAAGAAAATCGCCATTCTAGAGGAGAACTTTGCAAAAATCAACAGTGGTGATCCGTACACAGACGTCGTACCCAGACCTGCCCCACGGAAGACGGCAGTTCGCGAACCGGAAGTGGTGGCCCCGGATGATCAGGTGCGTGTTCGTGTCTAGTGTGCCTACTCAACATCTAGTAGACGCGCCAAAGACCACATCCTAACCTTGGAAATCGGTTTCATTCTAGGGAAACGTTAAATTTCCGGCACAACCTTTCTGCTATTTCTCATATGGATAAAGTTACTGGCATTTAAATGGGGCCAGTCAGTCTGGAAAGCCGGATACAACAAACTGGTCGTCCTTCTTCACCATAGCCGTTATCTGGGTATTGGATTCTAATTCGCAAGATTTGAAAGTCACATCTAACTTCGTTGTAACAACAGATGTGCAAATTATGAGAACTGAGGCCAGCAGTTAACTCCGATGCTTGGTGTTGAAGATGGAAATCGATTCGTCGACGTTCAAATCGATGGTAACGTCGACGTCCCTCACACCAAGCGTAGTAGGAGTGCGCTTCGAGCGAGCAACAGTAGCAATCGTGCTCTTGATGAGGGGACAACGTTGTTCCATTGATGACCGCTCATACAGGGCAACTCCCAGGTTGATTTTATTGATGCTGAGCGATTGCACATCATCACTTTCCTTCGATGTCTGCTATTTCAGACAACCTTACCTTGCTCCTGAATGGGTTATCTCAACGAATAAAAATGGATCATCTCATATGTCGAATTCATTAGAATGGTCAGACAAATCACTTCATGGAAGACTCATATTAAGAACCAAGCTGGCGAGCTTGGAGTTTTGCGAACATGCAGTTTACACCTTCAGAATGCAAGGTACTTACTTCTCCAGGGTTCCCTTTCTGAAACTTCAGAGTGATGAACTTGTGTTTGTTGATAGTTTTACTCATCTTGACAGCTGAGTAACCCGTGACTTCAGTGTAACGAATGAAGCCAACGCACACACAGCGCGAGTGGTACTAGGCAATTCGTATCACCTTTAGCGTCAGAAACGAAAGCTTTTCCAGTTTAAGGATCGTGTCTAAGAGACGACTTTGAGAAAAGTCCTACTCTATCACTGTGAGGCTTGACCTCTCTGATCAGAAGATCTCTTGAGACGTTTTACCACCGGTGTTTCGCATTCTAGAATGTGCTAATTGGCCGCAACTTGTACACAATGCAGCACTTCGTAAGTGGGTACTGGGTAGTTGATCAGATTCGACCAAGCAGTAGAGAAAACCTATGAGTTTAGGGTAGTTAGGGTATGCACTACATACGTCAGACCACTGTTCATCAGTGAAAGCCGTGTTTTCCACCACAAAGGCTTGCGGGCGACAGTTCATGACAGTGCGAAATGAAATCCGCTGCGGGTTCTTCACACCTCCCTGGCTTCTACGTGATTTTCCTTGCACGTGGTTGGAAACTGTACATGATATGGCCCTAAAACCGATTCCAATGATGGGCCCGCCGTCACTTTCTACCCGGACTGTCTAGCTTACTCTTGTCTGTCATGTTCTCAGCTTGTGTTGGCTGACGTTCGCAGAAGACATTAGGTCATTCCCGCTAAATGGCCTTCCGCTACAACACGATATTCAGATGTGCTTATTACGGTGGTTTGGGTACGTGTAGGTATCTCGCTCTTTTGGGATATGGGGTTTCAAAGGTTTCCACTGCTCCTTTTTCCAGTCACCTTTCATTGGGTCCTTTTCCCATGGTGGTGTGGTAATTTGGCACCACTTACATCCACTGGTGTATTGCTGCTCTATGATGATAGTGTTAGTGTTCAGGGCCCGTTATTCTATTCACTTCAGCGTCACGGAGTCGTAGTCGCCTACAGGTTTGGAGTTGCTGACTTGGCTTGGCCAGTGCATCAAATCAATTAGAAATTCGACTACTTTTGGACAGTCAGAGTGCGCAAACTCACGTGGCTTTTGTTTTAGTACCCGAAACTAGGTTGCGCTCTTCCTCATAACCCATAAACAACACAAATGGGACGGAACTTTTATCGGGAACTTACTGTGCAAACTTCTTTGGCGCATTGAAGCGACCAGCACCGATTTCTCGACAAATGAAGTCATTCGGTATATCTGAAAGTCGGTGATCATGGCATGACTAACAGCGCAACATGAGGCAGAAAGATGAAAATGAACACCAATCTCACAGATGAAAAAGCCCAATTGGATGTCTTTTCAATTATGCTAGTATAGTCATCTGTTGTCACGTTAAACACTTACTTGTCCATTTTGTCATTTCAGTCTTTCCTCACGCGCCTGTTGGCTTCAGTGCAACGAGAAGCTGCAGGTTCTGGAGGTAACCTCTCTGGGACGGGAGCCTCTGAGTCGATGCTTGATACACCTACGATGACAGTAGCGCAAGGTTCTCCAGGTAGCCCTGGTGTTGGATCTCGTCCGGGAACCGCGTCTCCTCGATCATCCTCGGGAATACGCTCCAAAGTAAGCCATTCTTTTGGTTCAGTGCACTCGCCTTTCTATCTGTTATTGACATACTGTTCCGGAATCTTTACCTGTCTAGATGGTACACTTAGACCTGCGGACTCGCAATTTCAGCTGTACCACTCACGCACGGCAAATGTGTGGTGAACTAATATTCCATCCGGAGTTCTTTTTCGCAAATCTGCCTTACAATCACGGTCGATCTTTACCCGCTTTCATTGCTTCATCTCATTCACAGATCTGCCTGCGACAATGTACTGCGTTCTGATCATGCACACCTTGTCATCAATATTTGTCGTGCGCACTGTGAAATCGATGAAAGTTGCCGTATTCTTGTTTAGTTTGTTGCTCGCTTCTAGTTTCTAGTCCTCTGAACCTCATGTCTCAAAAGAAGATGCAATGTATCATGAAGTTATTAGAGACATGCTTACTTTCACCACGTGACGACAGCTGATCCAAGCCGGTCCTTCCGGTGATTATACGTCCGTGAGTCGATCCGACGATACCTTAGTCTCCCGGTAAATTATACGATACGATATGAGCCGCTGTTACGATACGATGAGCTGTTGCCGTGGTCTTTTGTGATAAGGAGAGGGGTTCCAGGGATTATTAGTGCTCCTACTGAACTCAATTCGATTATTCATGTGATTAACAGTCGCGACAGCCAGATAACACGCCATTGACATTCCACCTAAAATAACTTGAGGAACAGTTCGGAGATTGGTTGAAATGAACATTCTCGTAAGCTGTGGTTGATCATGTGTGTACTTTATGGTCGTTCAGCTGTAGCACACTTTCCGTGCCTAGATGCCATGCCACCTGAAGGTTGCACGAGGGCACGAGGATACTGCCAGGTTGCCCAAGCCAGGCAGAGGTCGGGTTCGAACCACAGACTTTCCGGTCAGTAAATCTACGCTCTGACCACTTGAACCATCTTGCCATCCCTTGTGGCCAACAAATAAGAGCCCATTCAGTAGAGCCCCAGTAAGTAAGAAAATTAACGACGATCGAAATGTACGAAGGCTCTCAGTTCTGTGATCAAGATAGGTCAGGGATTATGGCACCCTGATCAGAAGGTCCATGTTTCGATTCGACCTGAGGATTTTTCCATTGTTCTATTGTTTGTGGAACTAGGTACTACACCAGCCTGAGTCAGTATTTCCAGCAGCGATGCGCCGAGGGTGCCGCTGCTAAATAACTGTTGTTCTGATAAACTAAAATCAAGCAATCACTTCACGTCTACTACTACTACTATTATTATTATCATTTATTTTTGAAGAGCATGGTCACAAACATAAAAAGTGAATGCAAGCGATGAATGCGAAAGAGGAACGGGAGAATATGGGAGAAAAGAGAGAAACGTCTCATTCGAAATCATGCCAAGGGCAGTGCCAGTCTGATGAGGTGAATCCCAAAGTATGTAAAGATTTTGGTATGGGAACACGCGTCTAAAGACCAACAACCAAAGAAAGGACAAACAATGGTGAATGCTCTTCAAGGCGCAGTGTGCGCTAGCACAGTCAAG